CAGCTGTTTAGTACTTGAAAATCAGAAAATTCTATATTCGGGACTCTGAAGCATACTGAAAAAATGTTGAAAAGAGTGAGAAATTTTAAATTTTGATTTTTTTCTTTTTCGCAAACTTTTAGTCGGAATCCTTCCTATTGCGTTTTGTACTACTGGCTTGCGGCTAAAAAATAGGCTACTCATCATTCATACTAACAAACGTTGAAGAAAGTGATAGATTTTCAAAAACAAGGTTCTAGCAAAGGAACCCTTTTTATTTTTCAATCCATATTTCTTTGCCCGTTCGTGAAGTGAGTACAAGTAAATGTGCGCTGTTTTTCAAAAGGTTTGCTGCTTTCGATGATTTAACCGCATTCGGAAATGTGGATCTTTCAAAAAGTTATAGCACGTCAAATTGAAAATTCGCAAAACGGCCATTATTTTTGCACCAACCTAATATATCATACCGTATGCTGCAAGTTGCTAGCAGCTTCTACTCAGCTAACTATAGAGGTATCGTAGTCAGTAGAAAGCGAGATGAGGCTCTAGTTAGAGCTTATTCGATCACAACTTATTACAGGTACGTAGTGCCAAAAAATGAGAGCGCTACATCTAGAAAGAGGAAAGTTCGTGCCAAAAGGTAATTGAAATATCAAATTTCGCATAATTTTTTTCTTTTCGAACGTAGCGCGTTCAATTTTCCGCCTTGCATAGCTTGTAACATGAGCTATAAAATTGCTTACATTGATTTTTGCTAATGTCATGAGAAAAATCTGAGCATTTACCAGAAACCGTTGAAAATCGATATTTTACAATTTTTACGGAGAAATGAAGCGTGGACATCCTGAAAAACATATCAAGGCGAAGTTGTACGCAGCATGTTGAAGAGGTTGACTTTTCGTACCCAGTAAAAAAGAAATGGTCTTGGAAGACAAACTGGGCCCTCGAGAAGCTGAACAAATTGAATGTGTCAAATTAAAGGACCATCCGTCAATAAAATTAGCGAAAGCTTAGCATTTACCGAGACTTGTACGGGGGATGAAATGTGCATAGAAATTTTGAAAAAAAGACTTGCTTCTAACAATAGTGCACAGTACACAGTACTGGCCATAATTACAAAAACACTAAAAATCGTCGTAATTTTCGTTCTTGTCAATGAATCTGTCTAGAACTTTGCTTTGTAGTCCGCATGTAAGCTTGCCATAACTCCTCAAAACGGCTTCCAATCCTGTTGATTTCGAACGGAGAAAAATGGAAAAATTCGAAGCCCGTTTTGAAAGATGGACAAAATTATGGAGAACACCTGGTTCTTTTAATCACGATCGCATTCGTTGACTCTCAAATTTTTTTTGTACAACTACATCCTAAAATACGAAACATTTGCAACACATATGGTCTATCATCCTACTCAAATAAAAGATCACTGCATTTTTTTGCTTTCAAAAGCATCAAAAGTCAATCTGTTTCAACAAACAGCTGGTTTAAGGAGTTTTCAAGCTCTTGTTTATCTCAAACGATAGTCATGAAATCTACTGATCCTTTTTGATAAATGAGGTGAAGAGCGCTCTCATAAACTCTGCGTGGTCGCTGATATTGACGGACAAACTCTGACCTCACCATAGGGTTGACGCACTTTTGCACCCAAAACTCGATTTTCAGGCAACAGAAAATACTGAAATGTAGCCAGTACGACAGCCATACAACAGTGAACTTGTGAACTTGTGTGCATGACTAGGAAAAAATTTCGGGGTTCAGCACTCCGCATAGCAAAGCTTCAGACAGATTCATTGACAAGAACGAAAATTACGACGACTAGAGTGTCTTTATAATTATGGCCAGCACTGCGTATTCGAGGCCGCTTACGTTCAGTTTTAGCAAATTGAAATACCTTCAAATCGCGCGTAGTGCAATTATTTCAAGTCTGTAAAGCTAATGAGACTTGGTGAGTTCTTTCCATGAGCCTCTACACACGCATGCATGTGTTCACAGTAAGTTTTGTGACACCTAGTGCATCGTTTGTATGTAAAGCAAAATTATCAGGATTTTTCGCTTTTTGCTGGAAATCATAGAAACACTTCTATGACGTCAGGTGCTTTCCTGTAACTCGAAACATGTATCTACTTTTGTTTACAGTGTACAGTGTCCCAAAAAGATGTGCCTACTTCGATTGTTAATAATTAACTTGATAAAATCTTTTGAAAACCTTAGGTACCTTTTGTGGAGCTGGCTTCGAATTAGATTTGCTGTATGGAGCAAGCTGCGAATCTGCTTTCATTACTGTAGGAGCACGGTAGGAGCTTGCAGCATATGGCGCCAATGTGGAAAGAGCCGTTTGGATAAGAATTTCCAAAAATCTGAAAATTGTGTACCAAGGTTTTCATGCATGCTGATTTTAGTACAGAAATTTTCGCGCTTTCGTAGAGTTCAAATGGCGCAATCAGATTTCTGAAGAATAGCAGAAATTGGTTGTTGTGGTGTATCAAGCACAACCTATGAAAATTGCGTTACGGTGAAATGCGAATTTTATCTTTGGAATCACCGACTCTGTATAACCATGTAAGGGCTTTCAGCTTCTTTTTTCTATTTTAGGGGTGCAAATATGGCCCTTACTTACTCGACTCTTGCTTATTTACCTTCCTCAAGGTTCCCACTGTAATTCTACATCAATAAAGAGGGATCTTTGATTCGCACCAGACAGAAAATTTAACTTGAAGCCAGCTCTACAGGTATCTAGAGCTCCCGGAAGACTTCATACAAGAAAATCATTAACAGTCAAACAGTAGGCACTTCTTTTCGGGACACCCTTTAGAAGGGGCAGCGAGTAAAATCAATTCATATCCAGTGCCCTCACTGCTAATGGCGGGACATGCTACTTCGTGAAAGCTAGCACAGAAAATAAGTAATTTGGTCATTTACTTGAAAACTATCTCGGAATTTTACATCACAAGCTTTTCCAATCCTGCGAGCCTTTTTAACGGCTCAAATCACTGTAGAAATTCCAAAAATTGCATTTTTTCAAGTCCTCGTAGAAGCAAGGTAGCGAGCTGTGCTCCTTTACTCTAATCTTGGCCACAAAGTCAAACTATTGCAGTACGGGTTGCCTGAGACGAAGAAATTGACAAGCCGCGCAGCGCGTGCCGAATCGTGTTCCGCGACCAATCTTGAGCGCAACCTTTCCAAAGTGTGGAAGTAAGAAATAAAAGGACTTGTCGAATGGGATTTGATCAATTTTTACTAGGAGATTTTCCTGAAGTAATGAGCGAAAAAAACGGTGGTTAGTAGGTACCCACATATCTCTCACTCTTATTTGTGGTCCGGCCGCATCAATATAAAGCAGACCTTTCTTTTTTGCTTTTATTTGAAGGGAAACTTGGAATAGATTCTGTCTGCTTGCAAATGAGGCGTGTAAATAAGCTGAAAGTACCAAAGAAAGAGTAGAAATGATCAAGCTTTACTTCGCGTTGTTGCTTGCAGTGACATTACTGAAGCATTTATCAGCGAGCTTCAAGCAAAGCCGATCAAATAAAGGATTATCTAAACTCTACAATCCAAGCGGGTTTGAAGTTAGCGCCTTCTCAATCGCAAAATAATTCCGGAGAAAGAACGAAGTTCTCAAACTTTTAGGATACTCTTATTGTGAGCACAAGCACCCCTATTAAGTTCGGTACTGAGTCATGCTTTTTAGGGCGTGGCCGATACGCGCGGGGTGCGGGGAGAAACTCCAACGTCCGGTAACCGACCGACAGCGCCTCTGATATCCCTGGGCTGCTGTTTGCCCCGTCATCATCGTCAATTCTGCAACCTACCAGGATCCAGTAGATTAATATTGTTTATATTCCTATACTGCCTTCTGTCGTTAGATCAATGAACCGGTCTACTCTCAACGTGTAGCTGAGCATTAGTGAAGTGCACATCATTTTACTGGTAGCAGCGAGTGTGGAGAGTCGGACGGGAAGGACGGTCAGCTTGGGTGAGTTGAGTTTTGTTGAATGACTCCGTTATTCGTTTCGAAAACTGGCCATTTTGGAAGCCGACATTTTGAATGGTAGACAGAGGCATCTTTAAGTTCTGGAGTTTCTCCGAGCTCTCCTTTTGTTTGGCATGCCTTTGTTTACTGGCGTGGTACACGCAGACGTCTGCAACATATTTGAACGAGTTTCAACGCCTATTGTGGTTCCGAAGCTTCGGTTCTAGTTATTTGAAGGGGCCATTTTTGGTTGAGTTTTCCGCGCGCGTGCAAATCTTTTTGTGCTGAGGATCATATTCGCTTATCCGTCATTGCCGCTAAATGCAGTTGTGTGGGATTATGCACTTACAATATTCGGCATGCCGCTAAGACTTTTGATTTTGAGACAGATATCTGCATTTGATAGTTAGCTAGGGCCCCTGGTGCATAAAGGAGATAAAGCGGCAGTTTATTGCTTTCCAAGCGTGGCGGAACGCCCCAATTTTTGCCATATGTTGTAGAGTTATCGCCATTCTGTCCTGTCGCACACTGGAGTATGCGCTTACTCTTGGCAGCTTGTGTTGCAAACTAGCTTGTTTCTCAAACCTTTTTGATTTGCAGCATCTTCTTGTTCTAGTATGTTCTGCAGTCACGAGCAAAACAGATTACGGTAGTGTTTTGGATGTAAGCTTTTCTTTCCCATGCAGACGCTTGTACTTAGGTTTTTCAAATTAAAACTACCGTACTTCTGTAGTAAACAGCTTTTCATCTGAATACAACTTCACGTGATTCCCATTCTTTTTCTTTGTTTGGAAGCTACAGTATTTGCCCTTTTGTTTTTGTGAAATTCTGATTTAGCCGATTTTTGCTCCTACACGTTGCGAAGACCCTCCTATCAGTCAGCTTCTTCGTTCTCGTTGCGGTCTGTTCCTCGCTCGGTTTTTGGCGTGAAGTTAACTTCGAATTTACCCTCACGTACTGCCGTGTATAATTGATGTGTTTTCAATACGCTATACATTGATACATGTTGAATAACTAGCATTCCCTCAATATGAATTTCGTTGTTTCAGATTCCATGGGATCTCCAAGACCTCCAAAGCGATCGCGTGCACAGTCAGTGTCTAGGGCTAAAGCCCCGTCATCCGCAGAAGAATGCGAGTTCGCTCGCCGAGTCAAGCAGACTTTCAGTCAGGTTGCTGACGATGCGTTTGTCATTGGACGCGAAGTCAAGACGTTACGGGACGCAACGGCATCAGCGATCACAGATCCATGGAAGGACGTGAAAGAGAGGTAGTTATCATTCTTACGACACGTACTAATGTTGATTTTAATTCAGCGGAGTTTCTGGACGACTACCGAAGAATGAATGTGGCAATTTCGCAATGCCGTCATGGGCAATTCATCCTGGGACATGTCCGAATGCTACAAAAGATCCCTTACTGGAACAGGGTCATCAGTTGGTCAACATCGATAGGAGCCATCGTCAGCCGGTCTGACTTAGGACGGTATTTCTAAAGACTATTTTGGAGATCCACGGTGAGTGCGCTTTCAAACTCATTCTCATTACTTTTGTATAGTTCTTTACTTATTCATTTTCCTTTGTTTTTATAGCTCCCCTATCGTTTTATTCATTATAGCATTTGCTTGAAGTCCGGGACGGACTTAAAATAAAGTGGGGAGGTGTGAGCACAAGCACCCCTATTAAGTTCGGTACTGAGTCATGCTTTTTAGGGCGTGGCCGATACGCGCGGGGTGCGGGGAGAAACTCCAACGTCCGGTAACCGACCGACAGCGCCTCTGATATCCCTGGGCTGCTGTTTGCCCCGTCATCATCGTCAACTCTGCAACCTACCAGGATCCAGTAGATTAATATTGTTTATATTCCTATACTGCCTTCTGTCGTTAGATCAATGAACCGGTCTACTCTCAACGTGTAGCTGAGCATTAGTGAAGTGCACATCATTTTACTCTATTAAAGCTGCTAGGTATGGTGCAGCAGGTAGGACTAGGGCTCACCCACACGGCCCGATAGGAGCGTCTGCTCCGAAAGTTCTAAAAGTTCATTTTTCCCCAAAAGTATTTTGCGATTGTCTGAGTTGTAAGGCGAATATTACACCTCTGTGGGTTGGCATCAGAGGCTGAGAATTGTCGCCGTCACTCTCAGTTCACAATGAGTCCTTTGATGAAATCCGCAAATGATCAAGACCTTATAATAACGGGTTAAGGGTTGTTTACGCGTTATTTTTGTGTGTCTGTCCGTCTGTCACGAAATTCGTAGAGCATGTTCCATCCTGTCCGAGGTCCTGAGCCCAAGTTTTGCATAGCGCATGCTACCTGCGTGAAAGTCCAATATACAAAAGCATGTGCAGATCCGCTGAGTGGATCCCCAAGAATTTACGTTTCAAACAAATCCTCTTGGCTTCTGGCCAACAAAATTGGGCCTGTACCGCCACTTTTTGCGAAGTCATGGATATTTGGACAAGCTAATGTAGAAGCCATAGAATCTAGACCAGAAAGTTGAAATAAAGTTAATAACTCTACGAAAATGGAGCCAAAAAGAATTAATTGCGTAAATGTTCAATTTGCCAAAATTTTACCTGATCATTCAAAAATTTTGCACAGAGATGTAGCCCACGATGATTGTTGTTCTTAGGGTGACTATCAAGCCATAAAAAGTCTAAGAACTGATTAAAATTTTGCATCATTTCTTCTGGGGAAAGTTTTGTCCACGCGGAAATACCGATCTCACATGAAAAGCTTTAGAAATAGGTTGCTTACAAATAATTCGCGATAGCCTACATAGGGTGGTGAGTTTCAATGTCATTATTATGCAATGAATAAGGCATACAGAAGGTAGATTCAGTGCGAGCCTCTGCGAAGCAGAGGTATCTGATCAGTCATAAAAAGCCATTGGTTTTTATAACTGATCAGATAGCTCCGATAAAATCTTATGCTTTTAGTTGTTATCAAATGTATCGGTTTTTATACAAAGATCTGCATTTCATTATATTGTTGGACTGTCTGTTGCTGTTAACGGGGGAAGGACTGATTTACGGCACAGCACTGGCAGCATGTTAGCATCTAGTATTAGCAGCGAGATCTCTGTTACGTTTGGATGACGCTGTGAAGTCAATAGTGGATATGAAGAGTTCAGGTGTACTGAGCCGTACATAAATGACCTATAAATAGAGTCGCAAGTTGAATCTGTAGTTGCGAATGAAGCCATTCCATATTATCGTAGCTGTAAGTTTAACAAACTCAAACATGCTTCCTACTTGACAGGATTTTTCTAGATACTGGCTTCACCGGGAGTGTGTCTAAAATTCATGGAGTTTTTCAGTTGTAATGAGACACATGATAAAGCCGAGTTCAATGGTTTACTTCAAGACATATGGGACAAGTATTATGAGCACAGGCATGAGTGGCCACTGGTTTGTGTTACAGAATTCAAAACTGCTTAACTTTAAAGGAAGCATTATAATCTGCAGAACTCTAATAGAACGTATTCAGATTTTGAAAAATGCTGAACCTTTTTAGATTTTCTCGTGCCATTTGAAAAATTACGCAATTTTTCTGCAGAAAGGAAATTACGAATCAATTTCACTAGATTACCCATCTCGCCAGTATATCAACATCAATAAGTAAGTATTTAGCTTCCTATCCGCACAATCAGCACAACTTCTTCGGTATTACTCGTTTCGTCTTATTATAGCAGCTGGACGCAGCGACTTACTGCTCATATGATCGCGTATAGTATGCAGGTGAGTAGTGCGTTCATGGAGCTTTTCATAAAAAAACAGTTTGAGAGCTGGTTTTCTCAATTTTGGGAGGCATATCGTATTAGCCTTTTCTAGTAATACTGTTGCTTTTGCACATTTTTATTGCTAGATACATGAGCCATCCGCCTGAAGTGGAAAGCTTAGAGGTAGCGGAATATTTTATTATATGAAAGTCGAAGAATTGTGAACTATTAATATTTCTTTCTCGATGTTTTCTGAACGACTGCCATACTTTGCACTCACAGTTTTAAGGCAGTGAGAAGCATATATTGTTTATTGCAGAAATTACCCTACACTATTGGCAGCTACGGATGCGTTTGGAATATGACTGGGCACTCTGCCACTTGTGTATTTGCACTAAGGGGAGTCATGAGTTGTTTCGACTGAATATCTGCTATACATATATAAGCCGCTAAGTTGCTGTCAAGGTGAAAAGCCTATCCAAGTTCCGAAAAATTTGTCACTGATGTCCATGTTTGATTTTCTGAATAGACTGAGACAACCGATTATTTCTTTGAGAGTATTTGAAGTATTGGCAGCATGCATGGTGCATTACCCAGAGTTGTTCCTATATGAACCATCAACGTGGCTGTCTTTCGACCATCTTAACATGTCAACTCCGAATAAGCGCCTCAAATTTGCTCGAGTTAACGTGTTGAAACGATCGAAAGGCATTCACGTTGACGGTTTATAGGATCATTTCTGAGGGATGCACGATAAACTTTTGCATTTACACTGAGTTTGATTCTCATTCATCATATGCGCAAAAACCAATAGTTGTGTTAAGAGGAGTGATAAATATTCTGTTCCTAAACAGCATGCTTATCCACCCCCTATGACAGTTTGTCGCCCTTCATAGCTTGAGAAGCAAGTATCATACTCGGGATTCAGTAATGATTTTTCAATTGATACAACATTTTATGTGTGCAAAGTTTCATACAAATTCTATAATTCTTCTCTCAACTTCAGTGTGCATCTAAAGAACAGAGTTAGTCTAGTGCTTAGGGCTCTACATGATACTGCCGTGCTGAAGTTCACGGTTTCATTCCATTCTGTCCCCAATTTTTGCGGCAAAAGCTTTGCTCACAATTCCAGCGTCAGACTGCTCTCCCAATGACGGTCATGCGACAAGCCGGCTGAGAAACACCCCTCGCATCAACATAGCAGACATGTCTCAATAAAATCCAAGTAAAAGCTAGGGCATTCCCCAGAAGCGACGTGCATTCGAGCCCGAATAGCGAGTAAGGGTTATCGTCCCAGCAAGGTGAACGGGAACGGCTAAACTGGTTAGTTTACCAGAGGCAACGATTTAAAATCTCGCAAACTCTCCATCTAGCTACCATCAACGTTCGTACTCTCATCGGGCGTTGCAGGGAGTTGACAGACCTCCTAGAAGGAGGATTCGCCTGCAAACAAGAAACAGATTGGAAAGGGGCAAAATCACGCGACTGGAGGCGGATATAAGCTCTCTAAGCTATAGGTGCGATAAAGAGCAGGGACCCCTCCAGGTGGAAGAGGTGTAGACTATTTCTGACCTAGAAAACTGAAGGTGGTAACTGAGCCTTGAGGTGAGTGCTGACGTAAGCTTACATGTTGAGTGTGGCTGGGGTGTGCAATAAAAATAGTGATACAGAGGTGTAATATGAAGAATTTCTTAATGCATTTTTTGAAAGGTCATCGAACAGAGACTTTTCCAATGCAAAAGAACTTCATGTCTCATCAATCGACATACTATTTGAAAGCTTGGAGTCAAATAAAAGTAGACCGTCTCTTTTTCTGCAACTCTCCTGTTCATATATAAAAATTTTCATTCTAGCTGCAGCATCAGCTGATTTTATGCAATCACTTTGCGCTCCATTTTTGAAAGTAAGAGGCTAGAAAAAAAAGACGTCTACTTTTACTGGCAATGTCTTGCTCTGTAACATAGTCAGACAATTAGGCGTCTTCATTCATTGTTTGCGTGGACTATTAGCTTGCTTTACCACGCCCCTTTAATGGCTTGGCTTTCATGGGTCATCAAAGCAAGACTTTTTCAGAGCGGGTAAGATTAATGCATCAACAATTTATATACCATTCGATAGCTAAGAGCACGAGGGATCGACGTAGATCGTTTTCTTTTCTAGCTGTTGAAACGTTAACCAAAAGTTCATAAAAAATCTTGACTATTGGCTGAAGAATACCATACGCAATGCTGATTATGTTTGAAACTTTACTTAAGCAGCTCACTTTTTTCAAAGCTAAAACTAAGTACACGCATAAGTGCAGTTTAATACGTTCATCGCGAATATATTATTCATTATTCTTGTTGAAATTATGCTGTGCCAACGGTAGGTAGGCGATAATGTTTGAGCGCTGATGGATGCGCTTACGAATGCGGACATCAAAACCAATCAAACTTTTTAAAGCTGAATACATTCAAATGTTATGAGATTGAAGTTTTTCGGTTTTTCATATAACCCAATTTCGCACTTTTCGTTTCTAAATGCAAAACAGCGTACTAAGCAGTTCAGTGGTGCTAGCTGATTATCTAATGTGAACTAAAAAAAAATACGAATGCGCTAGAGGTTCTTTAGAGGAAAACACTGCTTGCTTGAATCCGTCATAAGTTCGCTCCTCTTACGCTACTCATTGCAATACTTCCCCACGGAAAGTGAGCAGCTTTGGATGCGTTTGGAATGGGAGCGTTCACACGGTTCTCTGCGTATATGCAAACAAAT